ACGACCGAGTTCTGTTACCTAGGCGTAGATCACGATCACTGGTTTGAAACCTCATTGCTTCGTGGTCCCTCCAAGCAAGAAGAACATCATCACCCCATCATTTCCTGCGTTCCGGTCTTTCTCTTCATAAGGCCTAGCTTCAGATTTTGCAACAATAAAGTATTTTAAGGCGTACATATCTTCGATGACGTCATCAACGTATTACTGAAACTTCAAATGTTTGTTGGTGCCATGTGTGCATGCTTGTTGGACAATACTGTTGGAGGTAAATAGGATCGGAGCTGGCTGAATAGGCCGAACAGCCAGGGAAACTATGAAAGAATTCGTTCTTCAGGAGCAACCCGAGAACAACGGGGCCTTCGGTCACGTGGCATCATTCATGAGATCTCCATGGATGACGACACTTACAGTTATCCTCCTGGAGTTTGAACTGGTTTGAATAAGGTAAGGTTTTTCATTCAGTCTTCCTTTTGAAAATTAAAACGATGTTCCTTTTCAGATTCCTTTCATCAAATATTTCCCGTGCATGCCAAAAGAGAAAAGGGCCACGAATAAAGTCGCCGAGTTCTCTTCGTATCTGTGGACGATCTCAAAGCGGATGAAGTCCGATTGTAATCACGATTTCTTCATTACTGGTTCCCTAAGTCCTGGAAAGAAGGACGAGTGGGGTTCAACACTGACACGGTTAGACGCCTTTGAGAGCGCATTATCTACATGTATTATACTTTACGAGGCAGCACCAGCAGCAGTGGCTAACAAGCACTTCTCTCATTCATTCACACATCTGTATATTGTGACCATTTGTGACTGATTTTCACTTGTTATAAATGTTTCTTACTTCTGTTTCATCGAAGCGGTTTCTTCTCTTCAGACTCTCCTCTCAGGAAAGCTCGACAAGATATCGTTGACAAATTAATTGAGTCGGTTAAGTGTTACAGATTCCCCTCACGTGTACGAGGCAGTCGCGGCAGGGTCCTTGAATTGTTGTGTAAGGCGCTGTTGAGTCGGGGTTTTCGCCCTCGTTTTTTAAACTGTTCCTAATCAATCTATAAAAAATTCTCCGTGTGGTTAGTGTAAGCATTTTTATTGACATGCTTCTGTCATTTCAAATCTTCGTAGAGAAAAAATTCCCTCGCGTACTCTGTTGCATTCCTATTAGGAGAATCAGATATCTACAGTAATTCTGTGGTAGCACCAACTTTGTCGGAACAAGTATAAGGCTGCTTTCATAGTTCGCATCGGTGCGGTCGGTGCCGACGGCGCCGACCGGGCTCCGTGTCAACAGAATCGATGGGATCGCCGCGCCAGTAGGCGTGGCCACGACGGCGCGGCGGGTGGGCGTGTCCATTGCCAGATATCGGATGTACTAATGGCGTGGGACTTTCTGAGCATTCCGATGACTGTGATTGTGAATGACTGTTCAGCGGAATTTCTAATTGTTGAACCCTACGTGTTCTACTTCGGAGCAAGGATACAGTCACTTTCATTAGCTATCTTAATATTGTAGTTGTTCCTTATCTAAATCTATAATAAGCATGTAGCTTTTTGGGCTTTGTGATCAAAACATGAATATAATTTGTCTACACTACTACTAAGTTTCACTCACAGTGTCTCTAAACAGCGCCATTATTTTACAAAACACATTTTCTCTATGAGAACCGTGTGGTAGCGAACAAAATAAAGAACTACGACGACCAGTAAGGTGATCCTATCTTTGCTCTGATTAGGTGTGTTTCCTGGACAAATAACTTGAATTATTCTGATGTCTAAAAGAATTGAGAGTCAAAGTTTCGACTTCTTCCTTTTGCTGTAAGCCAAACTATTGAGGTATTTGCTTCGATGCGCAACCGTTTTCAGCTCTTACATGCTCCCAGCACGCTGAATTTTTGATTCACACTGGGTTCGTTCAAACAAAAAGGATGTTTTAGATAATGTTGTAGTCAACCATATGATAGCCACACCATATGATAGCAAGGCTATTTTTAGGTCTTATTCCTGCGAATATATAATAGTTGACTATTAAAAGAATTGTTTCGAGTCAACATAGTGTTGCAGTCATCACGGCAAAGTACCTTGGGACAGGTTCTGTAACCATTGTTTTCCCCAGATATAACCAATTACACGTATGGTGCTGGCGGCTTCGCCTCAGGCTCTTGTCTTTAGGACTAGGTCGCACAAGATCTTCATTGCTCGGACAAACAACAGAAATGTCCAGTGAGGAGAATCCAATTGAGATTTCGTTTGAATTTGTTGTTAGATCCCAGAAAGGTTGCGATAAGCCGCAGTGTATATGATTTAATGCAACAGTTTTCGTTCATAGCATCCACAGAACTCTTACTGAAATAGTGGCGAGCGTCAGCTCTGCCCTCGTAAGCACACGTGGGTAGTACTCGCTACTTATTTTTAAGGAGTGGTTGGAAGAGCATGAGTCTTGGGAACTAAAAGAAGTTCTTTCGTTTATTAATAACCACTTACATCTGTTAGTTAAAATTTGATATGAATAATTCAAGATATAAGTTAGGGAAACCGTGTCAAAGAAGAATTTCCAGTTCTTAAGCTCTGCAATTACCAAAGAACAAATAGTATTGAATCACAGGTGGTTAAAATGATGAACAGTGTATTTTAGAAAGGCACGGTCATCATAGTTTGGAGGAGTAAGTCTACCCACTTTAAGTTTCACGCTGTAAAACATCCTACTAGTCACAAAGAGAGAGTATGAAGATCGCCATCCTACTCAGAAGTCGATATAGACAACACTCGTCCTGAAGGCTCCGCCCCCTCGCCGCACGATTGGCCGCACGCGGTGGCGCGACGAGCCATCGATTCTGTTGACCGTTCCCCCGCCGACCGCACCGACAGTGTGAAGAGCGTCAATACGCGCTCTGGCGCATGACGCGTACGTTGGGCGCAGATGGCGCGCTCCGATCGATAATCTTGGGTTTGGTGTACTTCTTGTCTTCAGTCTTCCTTTTATAAGTGTGTTTTCTGTTGATACTTATTTTTTATGTCTTCATGAGTACTTTTCAGTTGTTCCGCGGACGAGCGACGTCGTATAACCCCGTGTGAAGTGGCTTCAAGACCCAGTGAGTTCATCATGAGCAATTTTGTTTATTCGAGTGAACTGTATGTTTCCAGTAGTTGCTTTCTCTTCGATACGATTTCCTGCTGGTGTGCGAATAATTAAATTACCAAGATCCGGCGGCCTTTCGCACACCAGCAGGAAATCGTATCGAAGAAAAAGCAACTTCTAAATTTATAGAGTCCACTCGAATAAACAAAATTGCTTATGATGAACTCACCCAGTATAGCCACTCGGGGTAGTACGACGGGGTTCAACGAAGTCGTGGAACAGCTGAAAAGTATTAATCAAGACATTAAAGAAAAGTATGAACAGAGTATGACAGAAAACACACGAATGAATGTAACACGGCGCGAAAAAACATCGAAAAGCACAAGAAATACACAAAAAACAACGGACATCGATCGGAGCCCCAT